TGGAGTTGATATGTGTAGGGTATGTTCAGGCAGTGCACAGGAGGAGTCGGTGTGTGTAGGGTGTGTTCAGGCAGTGCACAGGCTGAGTTGCTGGAGTCGGTGTGTGTAGGGTGTGTTCAGGTAGTGCACAGGAGGAAGAATGACCGCCTCTCAGTTCTCAGATGTGATTGTGAACTGTCAGAAGGTCACCAACAAAGGTTCAAAGATCCGAGGACAAGGATGGTGCTGAGTGTCTGGGCAGGACTTAGTGACAAGTTCTGAACTAACTTCAAAGGACACAGGATGCGTATCTTTTTGTTTGTTTTGTTTTTACAGACTGGGTTTCTCTGTGTATCTCTGGCTGTCCTGGAACTCGCTCTGTCGACCAGGCTGGCCTCGAACTCACAGAGATCCACCTGCCTCTGCCCCCGAGTGTTGGGATTAAAGACATGTGTGAATATGCATATCTTACTTAATAGGACTAGCAGTTCTCTATCTCTCTCTGTCTGTCGTCTCTCTCTCTGGGGGGGGTGGGGGGGGGAGAGGTGAGAGGTGAACTTCAGCTATCCTCCCACAACCACAGCCCACCTTCGGGATCTCTCACCGGCCTGGGGCTTGCTGAGAAGGCTAGGCTGGACAGTCAGCAGACCCCAAGCATCCATCTGGCTCTGCTTCCCCAGCACTGGGTTCTGGTCTTCGGGGTCCCAACTGTGCTGTCTTCCCAGCTCCCAGACTCCAACATTTCTTCCTCCTGAGGTATGTAGCTATTTATTTTCTTATCTGTGAAATGAGGGTGACAATCCTCTATCCACTCCATATGAGAATGAGCAAGCGACAACTCCGTGCTTAAAAACGCTTTCCACTCTCCCAGAGTACCAGGGTTCAGCACCAGCAGCCAAGTCAGGTGTCTCACAACCACCTGTAACTCCAGCTACAGGGGATCTGGCTCCGCTTCCAGCTTCTACGGCTACAGCACTCATGTGCACCTACCCACACACAGAGATATACATGCATACACATAAATAAATCTTTTTTAAAAATCAGCTATAAGGTCTAAGAAGTATCTGACACATGTCCTGTAGGTCACCAAGAAAAGGAACCCTCTTCCTTCACTGCATGTTTGGCTCAGTCTCCTCTCTGTACACATTTCTCACGCATACCTTTAGGTAATTCTACTTTGCTCTCTCCCACTTTAGAGCAGGGCACCGTGAGATTCGGAAGAGTGAAGTCATTCACCTGAAGTCACAGGGTAAGCAACTCTGTGTTTGATTGACCTGTGAGGCCACGTTCTTTTCTGCCACACCCTGAGGCAGAATGGCTCAGCAGGACTGAGTGTGAAGGAGGTGGCTCTGTGGGTGCCAGATGTTTTGCAAAGTATTATTTATTTAAGTACCGCCAGCTGATGTGGGCTGGCTGCTAAAGAAAACAGCAGTGAGCACCATACACACGTTTCGCCTGCTCCCAGGATCAGCACTCAGTCATAAAAGCAGCCTTACTAACAAAGACTGTGACCAAGTGACAGACATGCATAGTGACATCTAGGGACTCCAAAATAAACATGTCTTTCAAAACTAGTGCTCTTTTCCTCGCTCCACTGATGTCTCTGCAACAGGGTCTCCTGTAGCCCCATTAGATTCAAATGACTGACCTTGAACTCTTGGTCTTCCTGCTTCCAGCCTCCCCAGTTGCTGGGATTACAGTGAGCCACCATACCTGGTTTGTGGAGTGTTTCCAGGGCTCCACTGATTGCTTGATTTGGGAGTCCCAGTTGGGAAGGCTAAGACACTCCAGGGTCAGAGTCCCATGATGGTGTCTGTGTTCTAGCATCTGACTTAAGACTGAACAGAAGTAAGTATCTTGAGCCTTAGTAACTTAGTTTGAATATAGTTACCATGGTGTTTGTGTCAGGACAACATGGCAGAAATTATCTTTCTGTTGGTTTGAAAGAAAGGATCAAAAGTGTGTTAGGAAGTCATGTTCAGGGAAGCAGGTGGTCATTCCAGCCACCAGGGAAACAGAGGCTGTGGCAGGAGGAACAGACGTTCAGCTATAAAGTAAGTTCAAGTTCATCCTGGAGGAACAGCGTGAGACATGGCCTCAAAATGTAGTACAACAGTAGAGCTCCTGCCTAGACTCACCCAGTAAGGGGCTGAGTGTGGCTCAGTGGTGGAGCTCCTGCCCAGACTCCCTCAGTGAGTGGCTGGAGACATGGCTCTCAGCTTCCTGCTCCAGTTGCTCTGGCTGCTACCAATCATAATGGATGCCAACTCTCTGGAACCATAAACCAAAATAAAGTCTTTCTTCTCTAAGTCTAAGTAGTGTTTGGCACAAGAACAGAAAAATAACCAAGACAACCTCCTATATTTTGCTTCTTCACATCTGTTTACCTGCATGCACATGGGTACGGAGCTGCGTGTACCCATGCTCATGCTGAGGAGACCAGAACAGGATGTCAGGATGTTAGATGCCTTCCTCTATCACTTTCCTTGAGACGGGATCTCTCAATGAGCCAGAAGGTTGCCATTCAGCTCAGCTGACTGACCAGCAATCTCTTGTGATCTGCCTGTCTCCACCCACCCCCAATAATGGGGTTTCAGGCATGCAAACACGATTGGCTCTTTATGTAGGTGCTATGGGATTTGAACCCAGATCCTCAAGCTTGCAAAGCAAGTACCCTATTCCACTGAGCCATCTCCACATCAAGTAATATCACAAATTACTTGATTATTGTCTTTACACAAGTCTGTCAACACCTTGAAATAAAAGGGACTCTATCCAAGTGTGTGCGTGTCTGTGTCCTTGACATGTTGGCCAGTCTGGTGCACAGTTGATGCTCAATACAGATCTTTCAAGTGTTTGAGGGTTGGGGTCTGAAATAGGATGTGGGATGAGGACTGTGAAGAAAGCAAGGACCAAAAAACACTTGGATTTATCGACTCCTGTGGTTTGTTGTACGGCTCCAGACAGGCATGCCAACACTGATATTTCAACACTTGGACAGAGAGGAGCATCACAAGTGCAAGGCAAGCTGGATTCTAGAGCTCTGGAAAGGGAAGGAGGAGGGGGAAAGAGTGTAGAAGCATTTTTGGCTTCATGTTGAGTACCACATTTGAGTTGGTCTTGTAATCAACACCAAGGTATCAGGAAGGATGAATGTGGTTGTCAAGACCGAATAGTTATAACCCAGAAGGATTGCTTGGAGGAGTCAGGAGAGGAAGACATGCCATTGCTGGGTATTCCCTGACTCAGAAATCAGATTGAAAACCCAGATCACTTCAGTTCATTCACAGTGTGTTGACCTGTCTCCTTGTCACTTCTCCTAGCAGTCCTAATAAGGTTACCACGGTCTCAGAATTGGCTCCCAGAAAAAGGGAACACCAGCAGGCAGGATGAAAACCGAGCCACCCTTTGTTATTTTTGTGAGACAGTATCTGGTGTGGTCCTTTGAGCCCACCTATGTAACCAAAGACAACCCAAAACTCCCAATCTTCTTGCTGCCACCTTGTGAGTGCTAAAATGACAGGCATGTGGCCCACATCTGCCTTCTGGTGTCTTGTTTTGAGCATAAGAATCCACCAATGAGGTGCTAGAGCGTATGCGTAGAATCCCCCAGTGAGGGGGTGGGGTGTAGCTCCATGGTAGATCTCCTGCCTAGAATCCCCCAGTGAGGGGCTGGGGTCATGGCTCAGTGGCAGAGCCCCTGTCTAGAATCTCCCAGTGAGGGGGTAGGGTTATGGTTCAGTGGTAGAGCCCCTGCCTACTATCTGAAAGAGTCTGGGTTTAATCCCCAAAACTCTTCCCACCAAAGGAAGGAAGAGTGGAATCTTTTGTAAAAAGAATCAAAATAAGAAAAACTGTTGGGATGGGGGTGGAGGTTCTATTAGATAATGTTTGATGTTTACATTTTTGGTATAAAAACATAATAAGTGGAGAGACCTATGTATAGTATGATTAAAGATCTATATGACCACTGGCGAGATAGCTCGGTGAGTAAAGGCGTTTGCATCGAGGCCCCACGTGATGACGGGAGACAATTCCTCAAAGTTGTCCTCTGCTCCCCACATGCACAGCATGGCGTGCATCACACAGGCAATAAATAAGGTAATTTAAATTTTTTTAAAATGAACACGAGGACAGAGACTAGACTGGCATCCATCCTGCTGGTGTTGGGTGTGGAATCTTCTGTTAAATTTTATGTTTGTTTGGGCTGGGAGTGAGTTCAGCCTCGAAGACAGGCCTGGATCCAGCAGCAGGAGTTCCAACACATTGGTCATGATCATGGTGTGGCGGCTGGGTCACCCGGAGAGAAAGTTAGGGTTAGAAAATTATTTTTGTAAGGCTCCAAACTGATGCACCTCTTCCCTCTGCACCTGCTTGAGTTCTGCTCCAGGGAGCGACCCCTTGACACGGTGGAGCCAGAAAGTGCGGGGGCGGCAGCATGGGAGCCACCCTGCCCGGCAGCAGTTACGAGGGTGGAGGGAGAGATCTGCAGTATCTGCTGCTACAGCCGCCTCAGGGATTTCAGATAACCCTAAACTCAGAGGGAAGGCACCCAGAGACAGCTCCACCTGTGCCCCGGGGTGCTGGAGGCGGTGCGGGGGCAGGGGTGGTATAAAAGGACCAGCCCGACAGAAAGCTGAAGGCACTGGGCTCCCAACCCAGGACGGAGCCCAACCAAGTGAGACACTCCCAGGTGAGAGGGACTTTCAGCCGGGGTGTGCACAAACCGTCCTGGAGACAGGAGGCTCTGAGGGCACAGGGCCTAGGCATCCACCCACAGGATGGACGGAGAGGAGCCTAGGTGCCATCCAGGGAGAGGGTCTGAAAGAGGAAAGAGAGCATGAGTCTGAATCCCAAGGTCTGAGGGAGGAGGGCTGGGATATGAACCCCAAGGTCTGAGGGAGAAGGCTCTGTCAAGCTTTCTGAACTCCAGAGAGAAGCAGTCTGGGTCCTGGACTCCTGGGTTCAAGGGAGGAGCGGTAGGCCTGTATCTTAGTGTCTCTTCTCTCAGTGATTCTAGCTCTGGCAACATTTGACTTCTCATCTGGCAGCCCTGAGCCACTAACACCATGGTGGGAGTCTGGCTCCCTCCCCTGATAACTGTGTTGCTGTCCTTAGCCCTGGAAACTGCTGGACAAGAAGGTGAGAGCTTGCCCAGTGTCCCCAACACCCTGACTCAGAACCCCCTCACCCAGACTGCTCCCCCCACAGGAGGGCTGACCCAGTGACTGTGAACCTTCGGGTCTGGGACAGGCTCCCTGCCTCTGCAGGCTCAGCAGTCTGTGGCAATCTATGTGTGCCGTGGTCGTGAGGTTTTCTGAGTGGTCTCGTGCCTCTCCCTAGCCCACCCTCACCTCCTCTGCATGGTCCTCCTTCCTGTTCTCTGGCTTTCCTCCTGAACATTGTATCCCTGACTCTGTAAATTCCTGCTTAGTGCCTGTCTCCCCCTGATGCTGGATGCCCACGTGTGTCTCTGTCTCTGTCCAGACCAGGGTAACAGAAATGGAGACAGGATTATAGATGGCTATCCATGTGAAAAAGGCTCCCATCCATGGCAGGTGGCCCTGCTCAGAGGTGATCAGCTCCACTGTGGAGGAGTGCTGGTCAGCGAACGCTGGGTGCTCACCGCAGCCCACTGTAAAATGCGGTAGGTACTGCAAGGCCTGGCAGGGTGTGTCTGTACTCTCTGGGTGTCCCCCCCCCCCGCCGCCGTCCCTCTTCCTTTCCCCTCCTTCCCCCTCCTCCTCCCTCTCCTCTCCTTCTCTGAGTGTCACCTCCTTCTTGCAGTCAGTACATGGTGCATCTGGGCAGTGATAAGATAGGGGACAAGAGTGCCCAGAGGATAAAGGCTACCAGATCATTCCGACACCCTGGCTACTCCACAAAGACCCACGCCAATGACATCATGCTTGTGAGGCTGGACAAGCCAGTCAAGATGTCATCCAATGTCCAGAAAGTCAACATTCCATCACGCTGTGAACCTCCAGGGACATCCTGCACCGTCTCTGGATGGGGCACCACCACCAGCCCAGACGGTGAGTGAGACTCCTCCCTCGGTAGCAGAAATCCAGATCCCAGCCCTCTACCCTCAGATCCCCAATCCTGACCCAGCCCCTCAGCTCCCATCCTACCCAGTCCCTTACCCAGCACAGGCTGATGCCCTCCTCCCCACAGTGACCTTTCCCTCGGACCTTATGTGCTCGGATGTGAAGCTCATCTCCTCCAAGGAGTGCAAGAAGGTGTACAAGGACCTGCTGGGGAAAACCATGCTGTGTGCTGGCATTCCTGACTCTAAGACCAACACCTGCAACGTGAGCCCTTGCTGCCCCGCCCCCCAGCCCCACTCTGTCCACATCACCTGTCTTGGCCAGGCCACAGGTCCCACCTCCTTAGGTCTCTCACTTGCTGCTTGTCAACAACTGCACTTCATGCATGGAATGAATGAACGCAGGCCAGTAGATTAGTGGAGTTGAGAAACGCAGAGGTGGTGATGGCAGTGAGCCTCCTTCTTCCAGCCCAAACTTTGCAGAAGCTTCAGAACTCAGTGATTGATACTGTTTTATTTTTACATTTTTGAGACAGTCTTCCTCTGAGGCCCAGGCTGGTCTGTAACTCACTGTGAAGCCCAGTTTAGCCCGAACTGACGTAACCAAAGCTAACCTAGAACTATGTAACCAAGGCTGATCAAGCAATATACCTGCCTCAGATGAGTATATACCTGCCAGGGCAGAGTTTGCAGGGGTGAACATTTATTGCTAAATTTTGTCTCTAAGATTTATTTTGAAATTTCTTATGTGCATGAATGTTTTTGCCTGCATGTATATTGGTATACTGCGTTTGTGTCTGGTGCCCAAAGAAGCCAGAAGTAGATATTAGAGCCCCCAGGAACTGAAGTTACAGGTGGTTGTGAGCCACATGTGTCTGCAAAAGCAGACAGTGCTCCTAACCACTGAGCTGTCTCTGCAGCCCCCTGTTTTGTTTTTGAGGCAGTCTTCTGTAGCCCTGTCTGGCCTTGAGCGCTCTGTAGCTGAGGCAGGACTTGAGCTCCTGACCTGGGGTGCTGGTGTCCAGCCTCCTCTTCATTTTTAACTCATTTTTTTTTTTTTGTGATGACCACTGACATTTTCTGCCTGATCAGATGCCTGACCATGGACTTGGTCCTGGGGCAAGAATGGAGCTGTCCCACTTCCCCAGTCTCGAGTTCTCATTTCATCACCAGCCTGGCTTTGGACAACATGTTTTCACCTCTTTCTTTTTATTCCTAATTTTGTTTGACTCCCTTCTCTTCTTGCTGTCTCTGTCCTGGACTGGCTTCCATCTCTTGCCTCCCTTTCCTCTCTGCCCCTCCCCTACGCTCTCTCCCCTATGCTCTCCCCCTCCCCTATGCTCTCCCCCCCTCCCCTACGCTCTCCCCCCTTCCCCTACGCTCTCTCCAATCTCCCAGTCCTCTCTCCTCTTCTTCCCTCCTGTCTCTCTTGTCTCCTCGCCTCTCCTCTCCTCTCTCTTCTTCTTCCTCCCTCACTTCTCCTCCTCCTTCTCCCTCCTCCTCTTTATCCTCCTTCTTCCCACCCCCAGCTCTCAGGACAGATGTTAAGTTGCTTGTTGATGGACTCACTGGTAGGAGACATATCCCTGTCCCTGTGAACCAGGATACCCCCTCTCCCGGGCCAGGACCAGATTCCTGACAGCCCAAGGGCTTCCTTTCCTGCCAAGAGGATCTAACGGAGCCCAGGTCATCTCCGTGACAGTATGAATCCCTGCTCTCCTATGAGTTGCCAGGGTGAAACTGATTCCATTCATCAAGACAAAGACAGAACTAGGCGATGTCTGAGGGTGACCTGGGGTCACGGAGCTTTCCTCTGAAGCTAAAGCTAACCTCCTCTGTTCCCCATAGGGTGACTCAGGAGGACCCTTGGTGTGCAATAACAACCTTCAAGGTCTGGTGTCCTGGGGAACCTACCCTTGTGGCCAGCCCAATGACCCAGGAGTCTACACTCAAGTCTGCAAGTACACAAAGTGGTTGGAAGACACCATGAAAACCTATCGCTAACGCACCAGGAGTCAAGCTGTGCGCCTCCAAGAACATGCGTGTAGAGTAAGGACCCTGTGGCATGGCAGCGCCGTCAAGTCCTGTCTGACTCCCTTGCCTCCAAGATAGAGCGAAGACTCAACACAATGCCAAGTTTATAAACCAATCAGAACCCCAGAGATCTACAAGCAAATTAAGTCAAAAGACTAAGAAACCCCAGGACTGTGGAAGGTGCCGGAAGTCCAACGCTTTCAAGTACAGAGCTGGGTTTCCTACAGCCCTTTATTGGACAGTGGTGGTGACTTTGCACCCTTCACTCATGGCCTCTGATTCAGGCCCTCCAATTCCAGGGAAGTTCTTAAAAAAACAGCACCAAGTTTGGATTCATTACATTACTTATTAAAGGGGGAAAAATGAATAGAAGCTATTGACATATTCCAAAGTTTTGATTATTTAAATGGTAGGTTGGTTTCTCTCAGAATATTATGAACACATGAAAAATAATGCCTAGGCTATAATAATCAGCCTTATGCAAGGTGGCTGCTATTGTATGATGTTTAATGTGGATACAAAGTGTACTGACTGGCTTGAACTGGACATGTCAAGTGAAACATATACAGAATAAAATCCAAGTGATGTTCATGTGTGTGCTCACAGCCTGGAACATAACGGTGGGGAAACTGGAAGCATTGATAGTGGACGGAGGGAGACCACGAGGAAGAGTGGCTGAGAAAGATGGCTCAGGGGACAAGGCGCTTGCTGCCAAGCCTGAGAGAACGAGTTCCATCTCTAGGGCCCACAATATAGAAGGAAATAACTGGCTTCTCCATGTTATCCTCCGACCTCCAGATGCGCTATGGCACATGTGTACCTGCACACACACTCACACGCAAAACTAAATAAAGATGTAAATAAAGTATCTTTAATATTTTTAATCTTTAAGAACATTGTAGCTTGTTTTCAGCCTGGTCCTGATGGGCGGAATGCTTTTCTCTATTTCTTGGGTTTCTGTTTTCCTTGCATGTGAAAGGGGAGCTAGAAATGGAGAGAGGGAGGGTAGAAAAAAATGAAAGGCAAGAACGTACATCACCAAGGTGAAGGGACAGGAAGGCCTGTATTTCTCTCAGGTGACAGAGGGATGCTTAGGTCCTCTGGGGATCATCTAAGACGCAGCATCCAGAAACTGAGTCCAGAGAAAGATGGTGGTGAGTAGGCTTCTCCTCAGTGGCTAGGGGAAGAGAGGCATGCTTTGTGACTCAGAGTAGAGCCACACCTAGTCACCTGCCTTCCTTCTCTGGGCAGTGACACCTCAGAACCTGCTGACAAAGGGGCCTGCCCCTCCTGCCTGCTCTTCCTGTTTCTATCCCGGAATTTCTTCCCACAAACATCACTTGGGTTCTTCCCATCACTCTTTCTTCAGAGACTCTACTGACTGCACTCAGTCAGTCAGAAATGCTGCAGCTACTATGTACACACACACACACACACACACACACACACACACAAATAGATTGTAGGTGCCACAAGCAAGTATTTAATGCAAGAAGCTAAGTTCCAGAAGCTACTGGTTTTAACTCTAAGTCTATTGTCTGGTCAAAGAAAAACGAAGCTCCTTCCGAACAATCCACCCCAAGTACGCAATCAGACAGACTCTGTAGCCGGGCTCATGAGCTCCATTGTGACTCTGGGTTATTTTTTTTATAAGTTATGTTTTATTTTATTTCTAAGTGGTGTGTGTGTGTGTGTGTGTGGTGTGTGCATGTGAATATTGAAACTGGATGTCTCTATCTTATTTTTGAAACTGCCTCTCACTCTCTAGCGAGAAAAGGACTGGCTAGCATGTGAGAGGCTTTGTCTCAATCTCTTCAGCAATGTGATTACAAACACTTGCACAGCCACACGCTGTGTTTTATGCTGGTATTGGGATCCAAACTCAGATTCCTGGGCTTGCACACCCAGCACCTGACCTCTTGAGCCATCTCCAAATCCCTCCCTTGACCTTTGTGAGGTAGGGTCTCACTATATGGTGTTGACTAGCCTGGAACCGGCTATGTAGACCAGGGTGACCTCGAACTCATAGAGATCTTTCTGTTTCAGCCTCCCCGGTGCTGAGATTAAAGATGTGCACCACCATGCCAGACCCTTTAAATTTTTAGGTTGAATGATGGCTTGGGTAGTTTGAGGAGAGGAAAAGCTGATGGAACTCCATGGAGCTGGAGCGTCAGATTCCCTTGGTATTCTTTAAATTAGACACAGGTTTAGAAAATGACGGGTCTGGACTCAAACCTGATAGAGGAGGCCAGGGACTGGACTCCTGGGTCTGAGGAAGGAAGGGTAGGGTATGGATCCTTGGAGTGTCTGGGAGGAGACTGGGGTCTGTGCTGTGTGTCGCCATGTGCAGGGTGTGTCTATTTCTCTCCTCGTGCCTCTTCTTCCCCCGCCTTTGTTGTTAGGTGAGTAGACAGGGATTAACAGCCTGGGAGGCCAACAAGGATGGTGCTTTCCCTCATGAATGGACTCCATCTCTTGTTTATTGGTGACATTATAAAGAGAAGCATCTTTGAACCCTTTAAAATGTGGGGATCAGCAAAATGCACCCCGACTAGTGTATTAGTGGCATGAGGTGTTCTGGGGGTGATCAGCCTGCTTCAGAGGAGGAAATTCATGCCTGGTACTGAAGGCCTGATTACTTGGCTTGGGAGGCCATAAGGCCTGGGATGGGAGTAGAGGTAATGGGGTAACCTATTGTTGTTTAGTTTAAAAGGCCATGCTGTCAAGCTGCCCTTTAAATGTTTGTATTTATAGCCATAGATTCATGCTGCTCTCAATCTTGACCAGAGAAACCTCTTTCTGCAGTGGGCAGAGATACAGAGAGTCACACATGGTCAGAGTGATGAAAGTAACTGTGGAGTGGTCAGCCCTGAACGGGACAGTGACATCAGAAACTCCGAGGCTCAGAGAACACTGAGGAAGAATGTGCAAAAGAACATAAGAGGAAGAGGCACTGTGAAATGCTGTCTTCTGAACAGGACTGTCTGGTGTTGCACTCCTGAGCACACAGCAAGGATGGTTACCCGTGTAAAAGGAAAAGAAAGAAGGGAGAGTGGAAAGGAGAAAAGAAGAGAAGGAATGGGGTGGGGTCAAGTCAACAAGATCCACCAACATTTCTTTAGGCAGAACCAACTGGACTCAATACCCTACAAAAATAAAAAGAAGGAAAAAGAGAAAGAAGAGGGCATGAAAGTGGGGAGGAGAAAAGGTGGGGTGTGCAGAGGGGGTAGGAGGCAGAATAAAGGGTGGGTATAATCAAGACACCTGTGTGTGTGTGTGAAGCTATCAAAGACTAATATGAGATGCTCTTTTAAAAAAATAAGCATGACATGTGTCATGTCAGCTTTGTAGATATTAAATGTCCAGTGTTTGTGAACAAGGAGGAAAAAGAACGAAAGAAGGAAGGAAGGAAGGGAGGGAGGGAGGGAGGGAGGGAAGGGAGGGAGGGAGGAAGGAAGGAAGGAAGGAAGGAAGGAAGGAAGGAAGGAAGGAAGGAAGGAAGGGAGGTGCGGAGGGATTGAGGGGAAGAAAAGGCAGAGACAGCTGGTCTTTGTTGAAGACCATTAAAAAGAATGGCTTCCTTCTGGTCAAAAGAATGGAATCTGCCTCTGGTCTGGGTGGAGACACGACACTGATCTGCTTCAAAGATTAGAACATGACATGCTACTATAGACAACTATCTCCTCAAAGTCAATCCAGATGGACCTGCCAATCACCTGGTCAGGAGTCTACCTCACAGGAAATCTGATTCACCTGAAGGCATGCTAAGGTGAAGGGAGGAATAATTATCCCCTTAATGAGATCATGAATTTACCCTTCCCAGAAACCCCTCCTCCACAGAGCAGCTCATGCTGCCTGCCTGCATTTCTGACTTACTTCTCAATCTTTTTCTTTCGGGTACTGCTCAAAGTCCAGGTACACCTGCGCTGACACTCGGGGCTTCTCGCTTTTTCTCTGAAGACCCCCTCCCCTGCCACTGTGTGGCTTGCCAGCCTCCACTGCCGAACATGCCAGTAAGAACCATAACTTTCTTTCTTGCCCTTCTCTCTCTTTCCACTAGGCAGCTTGCCTTCTTTTTTAAGACAATATTTTGATTAATTTTTGATAATTTCATATACACCCATCCCCCAAAATTCTAATAAAATTATCACCCAAGTCTGTTTTTAGTTTTTTTCTTATTAACAGGACTAACAATTCAAAGTAGAAAACCCAATTTTTTTGGCCTGGAGGGATGGCTCAGCCATTAAAGGCTAAGCTCACAGCCAAAATATAAGAAACGCCAATTTTTCCAGTAATACCCTGTTGTTTCTCCTCTCTTTAATCATTGTCTTCTCCTCTTCCTCCCCTAGCCTCCTATCCCTCCCATGTCCTCCCCATGTCCCCCCTTTTCTCTGCTCACCTCTTCTCCTCCCTCTTCTCTTCCTCCTCTCTGCCTCTCTTTTTTCTCCTTCCTTTCCTATTGTCTCCCTCCCTTACCCCTTCCACCTTATTCCCCCCTCTCTCTCTGGCTCTTCCCCTCTTCTCTTTCTTTTTTCCTCTCTCTTTCTCCTCCCCCAGGTAAGTAGAAGTTCTTACACTGAGCTACAGCCCCAACCTACTGTCCTGCTGTCTTTCTCCCCATCCCTGTTCCTTCATCCTTTAAGCAGGAGGCTAAGCTCCCACCTCTTGGCATCTTCATAAAGATGAAATGGTTTCACATGTAAACAGTACTGGACCAGCATCAGCACAAAGCACCAGCAAGAGTTGCTTCTCACTCTGTATTACTTCCGACATTTTTCCTGAATAAGTCAATTCAGACACTTAACCGTGCAGGGTCTGCCCAGAGATAAGGATGGGAAGACAATGAAGGTCACTGGCCATTCTCTCTTTAAAGATTTTCTAACCCCACCAGTAATATGGGAGTAGAGAGGAGGCAATGGGACAGGAATAGGCATGGGTAGACCTCTAGAGACTCAAATCCTATGTGTCCCCTCCTTTCCCCTCATGAATGATTCCTCCTGGACCTATTCACCTTGTATTGTAGTAAGGAATTGTAAAGAGATGGGCCGAATCACTGCAGTGTTGAAATATGTCCATGTTAGGATACTGCTATGGTGAAAGATCCCATTTTGGAACAAAGTTAGAACATACCATGTTGGAATACACTGTGTTAGAATATGTCAGGTTAGCTGGGTGGTGATAGCGCACGCCTTTAATCCCAGCACTTGGGAGGCAGAGGCAGGTGGATCTCTATCAAGGCTAGCCTGGGGTACAAGAGCTAGTTCCAGGACAGGCTCCAAAGCTACAGAGAAACCCAGTCTCAAAAAAACAAAAACAAAAACAAAAACAAAAAAAGAATACATCAGGTTAGACTGTAACATATTGGGGCAGGTCATATTAGAATCCTCATATTGGAATGCTGCCATTTTGGCTTGTGGTCGATTGGAATACCTCAGTGTTGGAAGTCATGCAGGCTCTATCACTTCCTGGGTGCTTGTGCTTAAGCGATGAACTTCCCTACCTTGTGCCTGGGTTTTCCTGTCTACCGCTGGAGTGGATGTGATGAAGACAAAGGAGTCATAGGTCAGCATTTCCTGAGTTCCCTGTGGATGCAGCAGTGAGTCAGCGCAGTCCATGCCCTCGTGGAGCTCAAGATCCCGTGAAGAAGACGGACACTGATACAAATGGCTCTGGTCCAGGGCGACACCTGGAAGGAGACACCTGTGGAAGCCCACACAAGAGAATGACTAACCCAGTCGGGACAGGTGGCATTG